TTCTGCTTCCATTGTCGATCTTGTTAAGATCGTTTGCTTGGAAGACTTCCAGGAAACAGCACCACCTCCAAGAGTAAACATATACCCAGTTGTGGCCTTCATCTCATCAGCATCAGAGATCCAATTTGCATCACTATACCCTTCAAGTACCGACGGGTATCCAGTATAGTGAAGTCCATAGTTCATAGTACCTTTCAGATAGCGCATAACTCTCTCAAGAGCACGCCAATGTACATCACCCGGTTTGGAAACAAATCGGCTCAGTTTGCTAATAGCAAATGCGATGTCAGGCCTCGTTGCGCTCGCTAGATACTGGAGTGAACCAACAATCTGAGAGTATCTCAATTGATCTATAACCGTGCCTTTAGACTTTCGAATCAGCACACTAGAATCATATGGTGTTTGAGATGGTTTGCAGTCTGAATATCCAAAACGACTCAACACCTTCTCAACATAATGGGATTGCAGAAGTGTAATCCCACCCTCATCATCTCTCAATAGATTGATGTTCAAGATAACATCAGCCACTCCAAGGTCCTTCATCTCAAAGTTCTGAGATAGAAAAGACTTAACCTCCTCGATCAACTTGAGATTAGTCCCAAATATTATTATGTCATCAACATACAAACACAGTATAACTCCTTCGCCCCCACCATAGCGATAGTATACACATTTGTCGGCCTCATTAACAACAAAGCCAACAGATGTCAACGTTTCATTAAACTTGTCATGCCATTTCTTAGGCGCTTGTCTCAGGCCATACAAAGATTTCACCAACTTACACACCTTTCCTTCCTGACCATCCATCACAAAGCCATCAGGCTGTTGCATATAGATTTCCTCCTTTAGCTCTCCGTTCAGGAAAGCCGTCTTAACATCCATCTGATGAATGAGAAGACCATGTGAGGCCGCCAACGAGAGTAATACTCGAATGGTGGTCAGTCTGGCCACAGGTGAATAAGTGTCGAAGAAATCTTCTTCTTCTTTCTGGGCGTAGCCCTTGGCCACAAGCCTAGCCTTGTACTTTTTTATCGTACCGTTGGGCCTAAGCTTCTTCTTGAACACCTACTTGCATCCCAATGGTTTGCAACCATAAGGACGTTCAGTAAGCTCCCAAGTCCCGTTAGCAATGATGGAATCCATCTCGCTACGGACCGCATCCTTCCAGTAGTCAGCTTCTGGAGATGCATACGCTTCTGAAATATAAGTGGGATTATCCTCCACGAGGTATATGAAGAAATCATCACCAAAGGTCTTTACATTCCTTTGTCTCTTACCCCTACCAAGGGATTCCTCATTATCCTCCTCAGGGTTTTCATCATGTGTTTGATTATAATATTCCATCGGAATGGCAGGTTCAGGAGTCTCCTCAGATTCCAGTCTAGAAGTGCTTTGTACATCTCTCATGGGGAAAATGTCCTCAAAGAATGTAGCATCTTTAGACTCCATAATTGTACCGACCTTCATGTCAGATACCTCAGATTTCACTACTAGAAATCTATAGCCAACACTATTCATAGCGTAGCCCAAATTAACACAGTCCACAATCTTTGGTCCAAGTTTACGCTTTTTGGGGATCGGCACATTAACTTTCGCCAAGCAGCCCCAGGTGCGTAAGTACGAGTGTTGTCCTTCTCTTGGTCCACTTCTCGTAAGGAGTGATCTCGTTATCCTTTGTCGGAACTTTATTCAGGACATGACATGATGTCATTATAGCCTCCCCCCACCATGCCTTGGATAAACCCGACGTATCTAACATGGCGTTAACCAAATCAGTTAGAGTATGGTTTTTCCGCTCGGCAACCCCATTTGACTGGGGTGAGTAGGGAGGCGTCCTCTCGTGAATAATACCGTGTTCCGCACAAAAGGCATCAAACTCTTTCGAGAAGTACTCTCCACCACGATCTGACCGGACTCGTTTAATTTTCTTTTCAAGTTGATTCTCAACTTCTGCCTTATAGATTTTGAAGTAGTGTAGAGCCTCATCTTTAGTATTTAACATATACATATAGCAATATCTAGTGGAATCATCTATCAAAGTCATGAAATATTTCTTTCCACCTTTAGTCAACACACCATTCATCTCACAAAGATCAGAATGTATGAGTTCCAGTGGCGCCAAGTGTCTCTCCTCTGCTGCCTTGTGAGGCTTGTGAGGTTGCTTAGATTGCACACACGAATGGCACTTAGAACCTTTGGCTAAAGTGAAACTCGGGATTAAATTCGATTTTGCTAGCCGCGTCATAACACCGAAACTAATGTGACAAAGACGTGAATGCTAGACTTCAGATTCATTAACACTCAAATGAATATTGTTCACGTCTTTATTACATAGATCTGCAAGAGAAAGGCGGAACATGCCTCCGCATTCATAACCCTTTCCAACAAATAGTCCATATTTCGTAACAACTAATTTATTAGACTCAAATACCAACTTAAACCCTTCTCTACATAGAAGGGAGCCACTAACGAGGTTCTTCTTGATCGTGGGGACATGCTGCACGTTCTTCAGCTGCACGATCCTTCCCGAAGTAAACTTCAGATCGACCGTGCCAACACCAAGAACAGAAGCACTCGCGCCATTCCCCATCAGTACAGATTCGTGACCTGTGTCCTGGTAAGAAGAAAACAATGAAATGTCAGCACACACACATGAACACCTGAACCTGTGTCGACCCACCAATCAGTGGACGGCCAAACTGAAAATACAGCAAATAAATTACCGTACCCAGATGCACCACTCTCATTGTTGCTCACAATCATATTGACAGACTTGGAGTCCTGCCCTTGCTTCTTATACTTGTTTTGGCACTTGTTGGCCCAATGTTCAAGCGAACCACAAGTAAAGCAGCCCTCATCCTTCTTGTTCTTTTTGAAGGTCTTCTTACCCTTCTTCTTAAAGTCGGCACTCTGTTGGACACCATTCTTTCCCTTGGGCTTGTGGGAATTGGAGTTCTTCTGATGCACCGTATTGGCCACAGAAGTTCCTTCGACCCCTTTTCCGTGCGAGTCCTTTGCCCTTGAATTCTGCTCAACACTCAGATGGCCAATGACATCCTCCACAGAGAATTCACGCCTCTGATGTTTTAGAGTGGTGGCAAAGTTCCTCCAGGAATTGGGAAGCTTAGCGATTATGCAGCCCGCGACAAACTTGCCCGGTAACTCGCACTTAAGAAGCTCAAGCTCCTTAACAATGCATATTATCTCATGAGCCTGCTCCAATACAGGACGGTTTTCAACCATCTTGTAATCGTGGAACTGCTCTATAATATACATCTCGCTCCCTGCGTCGACAGCCCCGAACTTAGATTCGAGCGCCTCCCACAAGTCCTTGGCAGACCGCACATGCAGATATGTGTCAACCAGCTTATCTCCAATCACGCACAGAACTGCCCCGAGGAACACGACAGTGGCCTCCTTGAACGCCTTCTCCTGCTCAGGAGCGATCGTTCTTGTGGGAGTCACACCGGCGACCCAGAACACGTTCATGGCCGTGAGCCATAAGATGGTTTTAGTCTGTCAACGCTTAAAGTACGTCCCCGTAAACGGTGACGGTTTCAGTGCAGCAGCAAAACATGAGCATGAATAAATCATGAGCATGACATGGACAAATTAATCCATGAATAAATCATGAGCATGACATGGACAACATTGATAACACACTGATTACGATCTAACAGAGCATGTACTACACATATAGTAGAAACATCTACGCATATCGCTAGTACTGCTGCAACAGAAAGAAACATGAGAGGGATAAACGATGTATACCCTCCAATCGGCCACGCGACGGTGGTGGCGGTGGCAACAGCCGCGGCATCCTCGGCGGCCTTCTTGTCGGCCTCGGCCTTCTCAGCGGCGGCACGGTCGGCGTTAGTTGACATGGTGATGACGAAGGTGATGCGGACGTTGATGAACAGAAGCGAGCAGTCGCGTAGTCGCTACCCAAAAACCTAATCGCCCCTCTCCCGTACAGGATCCGGAGAGGCGGGGTTTCAGAGGCCTGCTCTCCCGTCAACCGTGTACGCGGTGAATGGGACGGAGTCGCCGGCGGCAGCAGAAGAGGAACAACGCGGGCGTGGAGGCAGAGATGCGTTCTGTTTCGTGGCGGCTAGGGTTAGCAGCACCCCACATATATATGTGCGGCCGCGCGTGGAGAGACGTGGGCTGAACCCACGTCCAAGTCGGTAGCCCACGATTCGACATCTCAGATCGTGGCCCTACCTGTGAAAGACTCTCCGTTCCTGACGTGGAGGAGTGCGCGAGGGCCTCATCTCTTCTCAAGCTCCAATAGCATGAGGGAGAGAATCCCTTATAAACCACTCCAACTCTCCTTCCACTTCCGGGGTGGGACTAAACATCCCACCACCTTATCATGCCACCTACATGGGCCCTACATGGGCCCTTGGAGATTAAATCTGAAATTGTCATATGGGCTCTAGGCATATTTCAACAGAGCTTGCAGGCAATTTTCAAGCAGAGCCATCAGTGAAGGAATTCACAAGTTGATGAGAGCATGCATATCATCAGAGTATGTAACGCAATGCAGAAATAATGCCACCAGGGCCTCTTTGTCCATGCATACTAGCACTAGTTTGGGTTTCAATTTTCAAACACCACCAGAATTAACCCTAAAGTTTATAAGAGAGAAATCATTTGCAGCAAGTATGTATTGTATGCATAAGAACGAGTATGGACGGCAACCGATGAGGGAGGGCAACTATTCTTACAGGAGTATATATGTACTCCCTCGGTGACATGATATAAGACGTTTTTTGACACTGCCATGGACTGACTCAAAACGTCTTGTAAAATGTTACAGAGGGAGTATCAAGTATCCATCAGTATATCTGATCAAGAGCCCCCTGAGGCTGAGGCTAACGACATCGCAGATCATGGAGTTCTCGCCGTGCTTGCTTCGAGTAATCATTACAAGGAGATGGTAAGTAAGTAAGGTGACTTGTTGCATCATGCTCTGGTATGTCTCAAGCCTACTGTCATCACTGCACAAATGGAGCAGATCACCAGGATTAGTTGCTTATCCCTCAACAGATTGGGGCAGACATACACATAATTAACCTATGATTCCTCAAAACAAACTGCGCAAGTGGAAGCAAACAAACTTACCGCGATTCTTATTTGCTTGTTGGGACCTGAGCCTCTGGTGTCACCTGTGCCACCCGTACCTCCTGCTCCAGCATTGGATTTATCAGCTGCTTTGTACATGCAGAACAGCAGAGAGAAATACACGAGCGTGATCCATCATGCAAACAAGGAGTCACACATAAAGAGAGGAGAATGTGGTTGCTCACCCCCTCCGGTCCCTTTTCCATTTTCGCACCCTTGGCAACTGCATTTTAAGGTGCACCTAGCCCCGCGCTTCAGGAGAAGAAGAATTTCGGTCAAGCAACAGCAGCATGTCTAGTTTCTGGAGAGACAAGAATGCAGAACAAGGAAGGACCGTGCATGTAGAGCGCATACATTCAGGCAACCACACTTCTTGTTTGTGCATTTGCTTAACAAGCACGTGCACCCCTTACCACCCTCATTGGCCTGGAAGAAGTGCAACACATTTCTTTCAGTTTCTTGGCAGAGGTCAGAGCAGAATGGTATTCATGAATGTAGTGTGCTCTCTTCTAAAGAAGAAGAAGAAGAAGTTACCAGCACCGCTCCTGCAGTCGCCGTGCTCGTTACAGAACCTGAAGCAAGAACCTCTCTTTTAATCCCGCGGTGCTGCAGCTTCTCAGCAAGAGCTTTGTACACAGTAGTGGAACGGAAATTACACGAGCGTGAACAGTCATGCAAAGCAAACACACATAAAAAGGAAATTTTGGTGCACTCACCCCCTTTGGCCCCACTGCGATTAACACACACTGTGGCCGCGCAGTTGCATTTTGAGGAGCACCAGGCGTTGTGCTTTAGAACAAACCAGCTAGTCTCAATTAGGATCAGAAAAGAACAAGCGTATCTAGTTTTTGTGAAAACGATAAATGCAACAAGAATGCATAAGAAGACTATGCGTGCATAGAACGCACCATGAAGCAAGGGCAGCGGTGGATGCGACATCCGCTCGTCCTGCAGCTGCACCAATTCATTTTGACTGCCGATGGGGAGTTATTCCTGCAATGCACAAGCCGACTAATTCATGCATTCAGTTCATATAAACCAACAGTAGGATTTTGCATTCAACTCTGCATACCTGGCTTCACCCTTCGACTCTGGTTCTTGTGCTGGCAATGGCTTAGGTTGAGGTTGAGCGGCAGCTTGGGCAGCGGCAGCTTGGGCAGCAGCAGCTTGGGCAGCGGCAGCTTGGTCAGCAGCAGGTTGGGCAGCGGCAGCTTGGGCAGCAGCAGCTTGGGCAGCGGCAGCTTGGGCAGCAGCAGGTTGGGCAGCGGCAGCTTGGGCAGCAGCAGCTTGGGCAGCGGCAGCTTGGTCAGCAGCAGGTTGGGCAGCGGCAGCTTGGGCAGCAGCAGCTTGGGCGGCAGCTTCATCAGCTTTCCTCTTGGTGTATTCAGCGAATTCCTCTGTGACTTCCTCCTCGTGTTTCCAGATGTTCTTGCAGTCGCCATGGCACTCGCAGTACTCGGAGCAGACCCCTTCCCTTGTGAAACAAGCGCAATCTCTGTACATAACAAAGAAATTAGCAAACTGGTTGGATGAATCATGTTCATGGCATTCCAACTGTGTGAGGTTGTGCACGTACTCATGGAAGCAGTTGCGGTTGGCGCACAAGCACTTCTGCAATTGCGACATCACGGCCAATGATGAGGTAGTAGCTGCAATGAGAATATGAGATGCACAGTATGAGACAGGATGCATGTTGTGGGATGCACGATCAAACTTGCTCAGAAAACTTATGTTCAGCTAGACAATTTCTGAAGAAGGCATTCAGTTCAGATAAACCAACAGTGGGATTGTGCTAAAAAAAATCTAAACTAGTACGTACAATTCAATTGGAAAAACTCATGCATCCAACTAGATATCAGAGATCTCAACATGCTCAAACTTACTGCAATCCAAAGCAATATGCATAGCCGCAGATATCAAAGATTTTTCAATCCGCATTACAGAACAAAGTTTCCAAGCGTCAGAGTTCAGAGTTAAATGTACAGCCAGCAAGCATTCACGAACCACGCCAGCAACTAAGAACTCAAGTAAACTATACATTATAGCAGATGAACCAACTAGTACTTGACTAATTAACTTTGTGGAAGCAATTGAATATTGACACTCAGCAAGGGGAGAGATAAATATAACGGGTTCAGCAACCAATTTTGCTCAGAAACTAAGAAAATCAGAGGGATTTTTTTCTGAGAATGCGCTAACAAACAAACAGTTGGTAGGATTTTTTTGCTGAGAATACAGTAACAAACAAAAGAGTTGGTGGCACCATTAACAATCATTCATGAATTACACAAATAACTAAGAACCCAAGTAAACTATATATTATAGCAGATGGATCTCAATATCAGCAGATGCAATAAATACATATGGTTTAGAGCAGGAACCAAGAAATTTAATAAAATGAAATAGTTCATTAATTATGCATCCATGTGCGCCATGCCCATAGAATTTACAGACTATACTCAACAATGAACTAGAACTAATCCGGGAGAACACAGCGCGTGCAATCTTGTCTAGGCAGCAAATACATGCATCCACCTACACGGTTGGCGTATGAAATAGGCCAGCATTTTACACCATAGGTTGTATTCTGCATTCAACGCAATGCAAGAAGAATGTCAATCAAAAGAAGATGAATGCTAGCCTGGAGAATCAGAGCTATTAACTTTGTGAAAGCATCTGTATCCTAGAAAACACCCAGTACTTAACACTCAGCCAAGGTTGATAGATATATAATGGGTTCAGCAACCAATTTTGCTCAGAAACTAACAAAATCAGAAGGATTTTTTGCTCAGAATACCTTACAAACAATACAGTAGGTGGCACCCTTAGCAAGCATTCATGAATCATACCAGTAACTTAGAATGTGAGTAAACTAGCAAATGAATCTCAACATCAGCAGGTGACTCAGGTACAAATGCAACCGAATGCAGGAAATACAGAGTCTATCATCACACAACACAGCTCACCCTACAGCAATGTGCACACAAATTGGGTTAAGCAACGCACTAAAAACAAGTCAAGTGAAATAACATGCCTCTCAGTAAGAAGATCACCAGAGCGCAAGCAATCACTTGCAATATCTGCTTGGAATAAAGTCATAAACAAAACAGCCATGGCGCCATCGGCAAGCATTCATGAATCACAACAATAAGTAAGAATGCAAGCAATATAAATACTCAACAATGAACTAGAACTAATTCGGGAGAACACGCGCTCAATCTTGTCTAGGCAGAAAATACATGTATCCACCTACACACTTGGCATATGAAATAAGCCAGCATTTTACACCGTAGGTTGCATACTGCATTCAACAAAATGCAAGATGAATGTCAATCAAAAGAAGATGAATGCTTGCCTGGAGAATTGAAACTAATTAACTTTTTGAAAGCATCTGTATCCTAGAAAACACCTAGTACTTAGCACTCAGTAAGGGTTGACAGATATAATTGGTTCAACAACCAATTTCTTGGAAACTATGATAATCTTAAAGATTTTTTGCTCAGAATACGCTAACAAACAAAACAGTTGGTGGCACCATTAGCAAGCATTCATGAATTATACCAATAACTAAAAACCGATCCCAACATCAGCAGGTCACTTAACTACAAATGCATCGGAATGCAGGAGAGACAGAGTCTATCATTGTAAAGGAACATCACACAGCACAGCTCATCTTACAGCAATGTGCACACAAATTGGGCTAAGCAAGTCGAGTAAAATTGCATGTCACTCGGTAAATAGATCAGTTGCAATATCTGCTCCCCTGCTGATCCATCCAATATCTGCTCGGAAAACACTATCAAGCATCATTGGCATTATTCACGAATCACAGCACATAACTTAAGAACTCAAGTAATATGATACCTAATAACTAAGAACAGCCTGCCCGGGACGCGAATCCCGGCCAAAATCCCGATCCCGAATCCCGGCCAAAATTTGCAGAAACGATCTGTCGGCCAAGAGCAGTTCGCAGAAACATTCCCGACCAACAACAGTTCACCGCACAACCTTCCCAGCCAAAATCCCGACCCCAGATGCGTACGTCCGCCGCGGAGCGTGCGGCGCCAGACCGGAAACGCGTGACCCCGTCCCGCCGATTAACTGATGACGCTGCTACGGGAGGCGGGGAGGGGGAGGGCGGAGGGGGAGCGCGCTTCTCACCTGCACCTGCGGACGTGCGGAGGCGGGAGGAGCGTCTGATTCCGCGGCGAGGGAGTCGCCGAGCTCGCCGGAGAGGAGGAGCGAGGGGGCGGCGGTGCCTGCTGCTGCGACGAACAACGGAACGGGGGGAAGAAATGCTCGTCAGCTCTGGTTGGCGAAGCACAAAACCCTAGGCGGAGGAGGCGGAGGGGGAGGGGAGGGGCGAGAGGAGGCCGGCGGCTCACCTGCGGGCGGCGGAGACGCGACCGACGGCGACGCCGACGCCGGCAGCGGCAGCGGGAAGGTGGCCGGCTTTCCCTCCCGCGAAGCGAAGCGAGGCAAAGCAGCAGAGCACCGCCTCCTCCGCGGCTCCGCCTCGGCTATAAGCCAAACGAAACCAAAGGAGGAGCCTTGTTGGTTGGGCTGGGCAGCAAACTACTAGGCCGGCCTTGGTGGAAGAGGCCCAGCCCAAGACTGGCTCTTCCTTATCTCTCAAAAAATTACCCTAAAAATGTCTTAAAAAATTAATCCAAATCCTAAATTTGTCAAAGAAATTAATGTGAACTACTAATTTAGAGTGCATTAAAAAATATTTAGAGTGAACCAAAGGAGGAGCCTTGTTGGTTGGGCTCAGATCCCCGACAACAAACTACTAGGCCGGCCTTGGTGGAACGAGGCCCAGCCCAAGACTGGCTCTTCCTTATCTCTCAAAAAAATTACCCTAAAAAATTTCTTAAAAAATTAATCCAAATCCTAAATTTGTCAATTTTTTAATGTGAACTATTAATTTAGAGTGACTTAAAAATTATTTAGATTTTCTGTGATTGATTCATCTTAGCTAGTGGTGACTAGGAGTTGATTCAATTGATTGATACCGTGGCTCAAAATAATTCCGGTGACTAGGAATTGATTGATATTGTGGCTCAAAATAATTCTGGTGGCTAGGAGTTGATTGAATTGATTCATCTTAGCTGGTGGTGAAATTCCGGCGAGCTACTCCACCTCGAGCCCCGACCTCACCACCGTTCGGTCCCCCTCTCATTAGTGCATTGTCTGGATACCAGGCGCACGTTCGGAGATGCCCCAGAACATGTCCACGACGACACCCGAGTCGCGTCGTCATCATGCCATTGATTCCGGCAAGGTAAGCATCAATTTGACCTTGTCCTCGTGAACCTCGTGTTCGTCACGATCGACCACACACCCTGACCAAATTGCCTGTCCAGGAGTGCTCGAAATCGAGCTGGACAACCACACCCGAAGTTTGCTAGCGAGTACGCAACTCGGGCGAGCCCTAGCCATCGCCTCACCATGGACCCCACGAGCTCGCCAACGGTTGGACTTCCAGTTGGGATAGAATTATCTGCTAAACGCTAGCGTCTTAGCAGGAATGTTGGCCCTCCACAACTTGATTCATTGATTTTGAGAACCTCTAGTATCTGGATGACTTGACCGGTTCTCTAACCAATCTTCCGTCCGACGCTTTGTATCCAAATAGCTGTTGTCCGACTTCATCGAGGAGTTACCTGACTATTCATACCAACAATCTTCTGTTGCAATCATCCTCATAGGTATATTGAGTATGGTTTGTGCATTCATAGGACATATATGTTCATTGATGACAACGCCATTCGATTGCCTTGACGGACCATCAATCAACACTGAAACAACTGTTGGTGATTAGTAGAAACCGGTTATAAAGCCTACATCATATTATCGCATGGTAGCTAGTTATGATTCTGGATATTTGCTGACTCTCCATCACTAATTCTCTTAATTAGTCCATGTTTAAGTACTGACATCCCTGCATGAATAGCGCAGCACGCCTGCCGATGGTGGTTGCCAAGCTCTAAATCAAGAATATTTGCAAAGGGGTAACAAAAAACTTTCAATATCTTCGCACCAAGTGACTTGGGCTTTTGTAGAATTTTTTTCAGTGAACTTATAGTAGCTCGCCTTCCCCACTGCCCTTGTAACATGGCCAAGCCAAAGAGCTCGGTGTTACAAAAACCCCAACCGCCTATATACTTTGGCATTGTCACATCCACCCATGAGACCCACACAGTTTTCCGCGTGCCATCCTTAAATCCCCAATAATTTTTCTTGAGCGTGGTGTTAATATGATTACATAAGCCTCTTGGCATTATAATGCATAACATGGAGTACGTGACGATTTCTTGCACTACCGACTTGATCAAAATTTACTTTCCCATCGATGGCATAGACTTATCAATCCACCCTTGTGCCTTCGCCCATATTCAGTCCTTGAGGTATCGAAAAGATTCATTGTTGCACCTCCCCCACGTCAGACAATAAACCAACGTACGACTCAACCGTATTGTGGGCGATTTGGCTATGTAGAAATTATTAGGTTCTTTTGGGGGGAAAATTCCTCCCCCTTTACAAGTTATTTTCTTTTGTACGCACTCGCTTCGTACGTGGTCTACGCTATACCGAATGCAATATCATCCACAGTTCAAGCCGTTATGTATGCGGTTGGGAGCGGGTGGTCAGGAGGTTTTTACCCAACATGTGTGGCAGCATAATCTCCGGATCAGTCCACCATCTCATTCGACATAGGCATAGTGTCGGTCCTATATGACTCTACTATTGTCGATATTTCAGCTTTTTATCGTCTCTTAGTTTGTTCCGGGTGTTGATCATCATGCTTTGTATCCTCTGATGCTACATTTTGAGTTACTAAAAACGCCCTTTATCGAAGAACCAAAGGGCATCCTATCCAAATGAAGGCATGTGCATATACACAGACTCCTAACAAATATCCTCATCATATATATCATTAGTATATGATAATCAAGAAAAAAAAATCCAGGAGTCGTCTGGCTATGGATTACAGGCCCAGTTTGTTAGCCCAGAATTGACGCATATGCATATACACACAGACACAGGCGACAGGCCCAAGATGCCTCATCGAAGAGTATCCTATTCCTATCCACTGCCCGACCAGTTCCACTGCCCGACCAGTTCCTCCACTCCCCTCCGGCTCAGGCCGCTGCCGCCGCCGGCGACTTGCTCTCCCCTCCGGCTCAGTCTGCACTGTATGCTCCTACTGGCCTAGGCCCTCCCTCCCCACGAAATCCATGGCTGCGCCCGCGCATTGTGCCAGGTATACTCCCAACATCCCTCCCCTTTCCCCTTGTTTCTCTCTCCCTCTCTCTCTCTCTTCCACACTGCTCACTTCCGATGCTCAGGCTCCGTTCCATTTACTTCGTTGCTGCCTACTACTACTAGTACTTATAGTAGCTCGCCTTCCCCACTGCCCTGGTAAATGAATATCTTGACATCAGTTCATCTTCCTACTGTAAGTAACTCGGCTGTCGTGTCAGAGTCCTGCTGAATTTCTTCAGTGAACAACGAACCTGAACGCTCACTGCACCAAATTGCTGCCTACTTAGTTCCCCTTCTTCACTGCATTTGTGAATGAATACATTGACATCGGCTCAGCCTCCTACGTAACTCGATGGCGAGGCTGTCGTTTTCTACTGATTTTTTTTCAGTGAACAAATAGCCTGAATGCTTACTGAACCAAATGGCACATACAGGGTGACCATGCGTTCCACGGCCTTCCAGTGCGCTGCTGCTACCGGGTACCGAACAGTCAAGCTTGTGTGCTGCAAGCGCCGCGTGTCGTCGGTGCAGAAAGGAATTCGGGGCCTTGATGGGTCAATACAGCATCGAGGGCTTGTTTCGCCCCGGCCATCCTTCCGAATACAGGCTTGCACAGCACGACTGTTCGACGGCAGCATGGATGAACAATTGGCCCATCACTGTTCTCCTGCATTTTCAACCAGGCAGGGCGATATGATGGGGCAAGTGCAAGACGATCGCCCACCGTTGAATCTGGAATTGGGCGGCGCCTGTCCCGGTGGTTTGTCAGAGAAGGAAATCGAAAGAAGACGAAAGATTAGTGCTGCAAACAAGGGGAAGGCCCCCTGGACCAAAGGAAGGAAATTAACCCAAGGTATGTCGGCCACGCTCTTGACAAGAAATTTTTACCTCGGCGATTCAGTTGTGCATGGCAATGTGCTACACAAGCAGTATATGCCATGACAGTACAATCTGGAGGAGTAATACATTCTCTCTTGTGTTGTAGAGCACAGGCAGCGCATCAAGCAGGGCACTATCGAGGCTCTGAGAGATCCCAAGGTGATGTCATGTAAGACACCGTTTTTTGCATCTGGCAAAGAATAAAACTACTCTTGTTATGGTCTGTGAAGTCTCTGAAAATTCAAGCCAGTTGCTCTCCTTTTTCCTTTGGTTATCCCAGGTTAAGAAGAAAATGCTAGGACACCGTCAGTTGCATAGGTAAATCGTAAATACATGTTTCTGTTATTTTAAGGTGTATACATAGATAGCTGGTATGTAGCTCTGAAATTCTGTTTGGTCGTATTTCAGACAATCGAGCAAAGACAAAATAAGCGCCGCGCTGAGAAAGGTATGGGAGAGGAGAATGATTTCTGTCAGGTCAAGACAGATGATCCTTCGTATATGGTCAGATAGCATCGCTGAGGCAGCGAAAGAAGGTGACCACGGGCAAGATAAGCTGGACTGGGACAGCTATGACAAGATACAGTCTGAGATGATGTCTGTGTTCCTATGGAACAAAGAGAAAGAACGGGTAACCAAGAAGCTTAAAAGGGCGGTGACAAAAATCGTTGCCAAGAAGCTTCAAGCAGCAGAGAAAATGGAGCTACTGACTAAAAGAACAAAGAAGGCGAAACCTGAGAAGCTGGTGCTGCAAAAGTCAGATGCTCAGCCGAGACGGGTGTTGGCATCCACAAGACCAAAGCTTAAAGAGAGGCTAACCAAGGTAATGGGCATTTCCTGTATTTGTCTGCATTGCGTCCAAATACGTTTCTGACATTTATGTCCTAATACTTTTCTGATCCTCTGTTTACAGTGCTGGCTAGTTACATAATCTGAAGCTATTTTGTTTTGATGTGAAACAGGTTCATAATTGTCCGTATTTAGATCGGTTTTGTTTTATGAGAATGTCATAAATACAGACATTTACGTCCTAATACATTTCTGATTCATCCTAAAGCCTTTAGGCTTGTTACTTTTTGCTTGCATTATTCCCCGCTTACAGAGATGGTTGGTGACATAATCTGAATTCCTTTGTCAGAAAAAAGGTCCACCAGCCACTGTCATAATTATTTAAATCATTTTTATTTTATTAGAATGCCCCAAAAATGTAGATCCATTCACCCTTTGGCCTTACTCCTTGCACCCATTGAAGCATGCTGCTGCACGCTACACAGTTTTTTCTATCTTCATCTTTTCCTGACACCAACTCCAAACTCTTATTCTCTTTTCATGATCGAAGTGGCACGGCCGCAAGAAGGAGCTCGAGATCGTGATAAGCTCACGGACAAGAGGTGGAGGAGGGCTGCGTAAGCCGGCGGTCGCGAGGAGAAGGGCGGTGGAGAGGCGAGCCGAGGTGGACTTGGCGACGGAGCCCGGGGTTCCGCCAGGCCGGATGAAGGAGCTTCACTCGCCTTGCAAGGATGGGCTCCCCTGCGGCGACACCTGAAGAACCTGCACTGTTGAGCTCAGGAGTTCTTACATTGATGCTGATGATGTCTTGCTTTAGTTGGCCTCTGTGGATGATGATCAGTCAAGTGATGGTGTCTGTAACAGGCTGTGAGCTCTTGCGTTGTGTAGGCTGGTTACACTATTTTTTTTTTGGCCCCTCTGTGTGGATGATCAGTCAAGTGATGATGTGTAACAGACTGTGAACTTGTGTGTTTTCTTTGCCATGATTTCAGCTGAATAGAAAAAAATCACCATGCATTTTCATGCATTGACATTAGCATGTAGTAGTACAAATGTACAATATAAGATTCTCTACAAAGAGAGACAGCTATTATATTTAACCAATCATTAACCATTGTCCATTTCCGGAAGGCGCTTTTCGCCTACTCTTTGATGATTCTATTCTTTTTCTTCATCTGTTATCAAGTGAATTGAATTATTTTGCCTTTTAATTTTTGAGAGAATTGCATTTTTTGGTTAATGACTTTTAATTTTTTTAATAAAATTACTTAATAAGTCTTTTAGGGGCATTACTTTTTTTTGGATCTTTTATTTTTTTAGTGAGGCACCATTACCTTTTTAGTTTTTTTTTAGAAATACCATTACCTTTTTAGTTTTTTTAGGGATACCATTACTTTTTTAGTGAGATTAGTGTATTTCTCTGGCCTAAAAGCCAGCCGATACCTACTTTTGAGCTAAGGGCCCATCGCATGCTCGACTGTTCTCCTCAACCCGGCCCAGGCCCAACATAACGCAGGCCGAAATCGCAACCAGCCCCCGCAGTCGTCTCTCCCTCCGCTCAGAGCCCGAGCCCTCACTCCACCAACTCTCGCCAGGTGGCGGCGTCGGCGTCGGCGGCGGCGGGCGATCGGCGGGGCAAGTCCACGGCGTCCGTGCACCGGCCGGGCGCACGGGCACTGACGGAGCAGCTGCCGGACCGACTGGTGAGTGGTGAGACCCATCCTCGCCCCGTAACCTCCCCAGATCCAGTCCCCCGCACCAGGTCCCGTCCGGTTGGAAATGGCCGACTGATGCGCGGGGCGCGCCATTAGCGCCGCCGAGAGGAGCAGGGGTCGACGCCGTTAGGGTTCTATGAACCGCGGGGATGGCCGTGATTGTCCTTAGAGCTAGCTGGCCCCCGCCGTCGTTTATTTCTCGAGCTAGCTCCCTCCATGGATGGATTATTGCCGTGGCAGTGAGATCCCGAGCCGCCAGACTCGAGGGAGACGCAACTCCTCTTGCTTAGATGCAACCCCTCTTGGTCAGAAATCTAGGATGCTCTCAAAAAAGAGACCTAGGATGCATTTGTACATGTGTGGTGTGGTCCTCCAGTTCATTCATGTACACGCCACCTTCAGACTTGAGTGCCAAGCGAGATGCCCGTGTTATCTGCCCAATTCACTCACTTGGGCCGTGTAATTCAGTTCATTGCAGCAAAAAATTGCTGCTGCAGAGCATAATCTTGTTTTACCCCTGTGAATTGTGATCCATATTTGCATATTGCTGTTGCTGCTGAAACAGCAGCAGCATAATCTTGTCTTACCACTGTGATCCATATTTGTATGGGCGAGACTAAGACCGGATGCAGATCGGATAGCGGCCTTCCCACTTCCTTTTCTGTATTTGTGTGGGCGAATGTACCATTCTTTTTTCCTGTACTGCATGGGAACCATGATGCTTGACATGTTGTGATGCGTACATGTCTGTCTAGGTCAAGCTGCTCTTAGGATGAGGTCCTCCAAGAGTAATGGGAGCGTGCAGAAGGCGGGGAGAGTTAACCATGCCCAGGGAGAAGGGGCGAGCTGGGTTCTTGTCGCAGGAGGAGTTCTTCTGAGCACTCTTTCAGTCAGATTTGGGTGCAAGCTGAAGCAAATGTTTGATACGAAGAAGCAAAATAGCACCTCCAGAGGTCTGATGCTCTCATTTGCACTTGTAGTTCTAACTGCAGTCATATGTGCTGTCTGCTGAGTGCTGACCATCTGAATTTGCAGCCAAAAGAAGGCATGGATCTTGTGAACTACACTCGAATCTGTACCGTTTTGATGATGAAACCAATTGCTACTGCTGTGTCTCAGGTAACTTGTGCTACAGCTTAATTTATGCTCTGTTGCCGAGTATTCATGAGGTTGCAGCAAACTTTGCAGTCTGCAGTGTTGAGTTTTTTCAGCTGGCATAGTAAATACAGTAACTCAGTTGATGTCATTAACTGTCATTACCATTAGATTATGAGATTACAGTTATATAATGTGCCATACCTTGAACATAATCCATGAGTACTAGCCATGAAGCCAAAAATTAAGCCACACACTGGCAGTATGCTGACACAGTGGCTATATAGCGAATTTCGCATTGTTAAATTGCACTTTACACCCTTGAGGCCTTGACTGGGCTAACACTGGACGCTGTCTTCCTATTTTTATTTATTACTTAACAGTTGTTGCAAAAAGGCAGAAACAATGTTAACTGTTGGTTGTTATGTGCCGGAATTGCAGATGGTGGAGTGGAAATCAAGCAAGCACCTGCAAGTTCTTTATCGAAACCTGATGAACCCTCCCTTCCTCTTGCAAAGATACCAGGGCCAGAATCAAGCAAAGAGAACAGTGGCGTCATGTGGACGTCATCGCCTGACCGGCTTGAAGATCATCGCAGACCATTGCAGTACTCAAACAGTTCTGGCTCTCCCTGTGTTTCAGAGTCAGGATCTGACATTTATATCAAGAGAGAGGTCATACAGAAGTTGAGACAGCACCTCAGGAAACGTGATGAGATGATCATAGAGATGCAAGCACAGATAGCTGATCTTAAGAACTCTCTCAGCATCGAGGAGACGCAGACCGCCAATTTGCAGTCCCAGCTGGATGGTGCCAACCGAGATCTGTTCGAATCTGAGAGGGAGATCCAGCAGCTAAGGAAGATCATCGCAGATCATTGTGTGGCAGAAGCGCTCTCCCGCGACAAGCCCTTGCAAGCTGGAAACTGGCAACCAGATGCCGCCAATGGGCATGCGAATGGCTACGCTGATAGCAGCATCGATGACCCTGAGCTGCACTGTATTGGTATCGAGAAGAGGAACGGCGAGGCAGAGAGGGTGGAGATGCTCAAGAGAGAGGTGGGCGAGCTGAAGGAGGTGATAGAGGGGAAGGACTTCCTGCTCCAGAGCTACAAGGAGCAGAAGGTGGAGCTCTGCTCGAAGATGAGAGAGCTGCAGGAAAGGCTCTCGGCGCAGGTGCCCAACATCTTGTAGGATCTACTCGACAACCTCACTACGGAATTTGCTAGGGCTAAGGTAGCTAGCAAATTGGTGTTGTCAAGGATTCACGGGAAAAGATTTCGTCGCACGTGCTAGGGTCTTTGCAGAATGTTACGTTGATTCGTTTTTCTTTCCCCTCAGTTTTAGTCCTTGGTTGCTCAGTGTTTAAAAGAAGGGCTTATTTTTTTCAGTTGCTAGGGCTAGGTAGGATACTGGACCTGGATGAGTGTTGTATAGGTTTTTCGGGTTTGCAGGCGTGATCGTGTTACATGCTCCCTCTTTTAGCTCGGCGTGGTTTAGGCCAGTGCGGTCTTGAATTTGTGGACGTTTTTTTCCAGTAAAATGGCTTTGTTTCTCTGCGTGTTTCCGATGCCTTTTGTTTCCAAAGGCAGTTCAGTTCACTCCAGAAAATCGATTTATTCAGCAGCCAATAACGAATGGGCTTAATGTTTATGGACACCACATCCTGTAACATTCCATTCCTATGTATCCATTGAGATTCCAAACACAAGGCCCAAACCTTTCTTGCTACAATCTGATTAGACTTGTAACTAACGAGTACCCATGAATTAGATAACTGCCTGGTGCTTTGCTTCATCACTGAAGAGTTTGTATTCTACAATGTAGTAATGTTTCCTTCATTCCTGTGACAATCTTAACTATGTTGTATGCTGTTGTCCTGCCAAAAAAAGACAACATGTGGCAGCAGCACTTGTGGCTGTGGCTTGTGCACTGGGGCACATGACCAAAATATGGCACTTGATCACTGAGTCCTCCTGTGCTGTGCAGGGCTGCAGTTCCTAATCTTGGTGCCAGTTTTCATGAGAACCAACCAAGAGGGATGGGCATGCAGAGAAGATGCCTGATGATGATGGCCAAGCAGAGCTGGACCTCACTCTCCTCCATATCTGCTCTGCTCCAGTCCACCATCATGGGAAGAAACAAGGCCAAGCAAAATGCCCATGCTGTTGCTGCAGTGCAAGTGCATGCAGCATGCAGCCAGCTTCTTCTTCACTAGGATCAGATATGGACACACATGGTCAACTCCTGCACTGCAGGTCTTCAACTTGATCCATGGCATGGCACAGCATCTAGCCAATGTCTCCATTGATGTGAGAGGTTGACCTTGCCTTGCAACTTGCAACTGGGCATATGCATCCATATCTTCCTGAGTAGTTCAGATCCATACTCCAGCTTAACCTGGCATAGTGGTCGCGGGAAGCTCCCGTGTTCCAAACGGGGCCTTGATCGCATTGACCCCATCTATCTATGTTCAAATGCTTCCCGCGTTCCAAACGGGGCCTTGATCGCATTGACCCCATCTATGTATGTTCAAATCCTGGCTCCGCCCCTGATTGATCGAATCATCGACGACGACGATTTTTCTTCACTGGCCAGAAAGAAACGCCCTGTGTCATTAAGACGACGAGTAGCAACAAACAGGAGGCTGGGTGGCAATGAGGGTCTTGTTGGACGGCCGATCGATCCGGGCCGTCGGTCGGGTCACCGACGGCCGTGGCCCCTCGTCGAGCTGGTAGGGGGCAGTGCCCTCGCGGCCACGGCACAGGGAGGCTGGATGATTGATCCGTCCGGCCGGACAGGGACAGCGGGATGGAGATGGACGCATGGCACGGCCCTCACATCACATGCATCATGCATGCATGCATGCACGGTGCTAGCTAGAGACACGAGAGTGTGAGAGGAGAGGTTGGAAATAATGCGGGCAGCGTACATGGAGCTTTGGGTTGTGGCCGAGGGTGGGCGTGCAGTGCATGCATGCGCACTGTACGTGCTGGAGAATCGTTTGGTTGTGCACGCAGGACATTGACCATGCTACAGTGCAGAGGGCGACGGGCACGTGATCGGTGCAAATCCATCGTCGGGTATGGGGTGTGACACACGCAGATGGGAGTACGTGCATGACCTGCACTGATGATTGTCTGAGTCAAAATGGGAAATCAGTGCTGTGAGTGCTCCTACAATGTACTGATTTCAAAGCTAGCGCGCGCACACACAGAGAGATGATGTACATACAGTCAGTTTGGAGGTACACACATGACACATCAATGCCCATGCATATCTACATAAGTTTCAGCATCATGGGCTTGGAGTGAGAGAGTGTCTGCGAGGACGAGCATGGCAGGATAGAGTGGGCATAGGAAGGTAGAAGGGTTGCGGATAGGTGTAGCCAGGTAGTGTAGGGGGTCCCGTGCCCGTGCGTGAATGAAAAGGCAAAGGCAAAGGCACTGCACTAGCACTCCTCATTTGTCATCTTCTTCTCATCCTCCTCCTCCCTTAACCATATCCACAGCCACAACTTTTCATCCAGCTAGCTATAGTAACCTCTCTCTCGCTGACCACTGCAGTTCAGGCTTCAATGACAAGCAGTGTCTTATGAAGAAAAACACATGCGCGTGGCCCCACTCACGTGCCAATGCATGATTAACCTTGAGATCAAGGCGCACGCTCCCAGCACATGACCAGCCCCAAAAGCAACCCTATCCATGATCCATCTATTTATCCAGGAATTCTATCTGAATTGAAGGTGAGCTGATGCGTGGTACTAGACACACAAAACGACGCGTCGATGCGTGCATTTTTCTAGAGAAATGAAAAAAGAAACCGGCGCGTTGCTCTTCAATTTGTTTTTTCATATCTAGTAGCTAGTTCCGGTCGCTGTACAATTTCTTGGTGTAATTTTTGCCATCCTCCCCAAAATATATGCACTGTGTTTGCAGTACTAGAATGAGATGTGCATTATGCATGCAGCACTGGGACTGTTTTCTTTTCTTTTTCTCTCCGCCGTCCATTGTTGGTTTAGATGTGTTGCCACCGAGCAGTTGCACTGCAATCTCAAGGGAAAAGAAGGAGGCATACAGAAAAGTGGAGGGAGGAACATGTCATGTCGACCGTTCTTAGATCTGTAGGAAATGGCCAAGCCTCCAACTTTCAGTGTGCCACTTTACGTTGATATGCACATGTCAACAAGACAGACAAGCCAGTTGGGGCTTGCTTGCTAGCAGCCCTGCATTTTATTCTAGTGTTTGCAAGTCATGTCACCATGATACATAGGACATACACTCACAGCCCTGATGGATAGGTACAGTACCATACATGACATGCTAACTGAAAAGCTGCACCTAATGTGGAAGCGATTAGCCCAAGCTAAATTTACTTGTTCTTTTAACTAGAGCCTGCTAATTAACTTTACACTATGTCCTACGCTTGTTCAGTTCGGTTTGGTTACATCTGCTCAAAGAGCAAGAAATATGGTACTCCCTCAGTTTCGAATTACTCGTCGCAGAAATTACGACGAGTAATTTGGAACGGAGGAAGTATAAAATTAGTGACTAGGCAAGGACTGAACCTGCACATGCATGCAGGATGCAGCCTTTAATCTGATCCTGATGTGGCCAATGATCTTGCTCCGGTGTTTCATTGGATCCCCTTCCCTGCACGGCCCTTGAGGCCCAATCATCTGACAATGACAACAAAATTAAACCAGAGGATAACCAGCTCACCACAGACGACCCAACCCTTGTTTTATGGTCTTGAGGCTTACCCCTCCCTGCATTTTATATCAGTTAAAAACCAATTGACCCTCCATGCATCCTGATGCACATTTTTTGGAACGTAGACGCTAGAAGTCAGCCTGTGCAAAACCGAACCGAAAACCAAAAACCAAACCAAAAAAAATAAAACCGAACCGAATTTCGGTTTTTTCAGGTTCTGGTTTCAGTTTCAGTTTTCAATTTTGAAAACCATATAGCCTTCGGTTTTTTCGGTTAGAAACCGACGGTTTTCAGTTAAACCGAATTAAACCGAAATTAGCTCCACAATGTGAAGACATTCAGTTTAAGCTAGAACCACCCCTCCTTTTATAGCCTTGTGCCCACCGCGCTTCAGCTCCATACGCGAGGTGGTACTAAACATTGCAGAGACCAACGACCTGAGCAGCTGGCGCTTCGTTTTGCTTTCTTGGGCCTCAATTATCCCAGCCCATACAGCCAATTCTCGCTTGCCTAAAAGAAAGGCCGGCCGGCCGCTGGAGTGGGTCGTGCCTCCTGGGTCAAACTCTTTTTTTTTCTTGCTCCCTCACGTAATAAAAAACCTGCCTAATCCTCGTATCTGCTGTAATGCCTAGGACCAAATCATGTCTGCCACTGCCATCTAATAATGATCTAATCCACGTAGGCATTTCTTACAAGAAAAATTTTACGTACATTTTTTTATGGGAAAATCTTACGTACATGGCTACATGCACATATCGTATCATGTGACCAAAAATATTTGTTGTTCATTCAAAAATTTGCGTCAACTTTGGTTAATTTGGTTATTACCGAAACCAAACCGAAAGCAAACGGTTACAACCGAAACCGAACCGTATCTCCGTATAAAACCGTATAAACCGAAGTATAAAACCCGTATAAACCAAAAACCGTATAAACCGAACCGAATCAAACCGAAAAAACCGAATGCACAGGCTGAGCTAGAAGCGTCCGGCTTTAAATTAAAAATATGGGTCATGCAGGAGGCTGCTTGATGCTGCTGCTGCACATTAATCCATCACATGATGCTGCTGCTGTCATCTGAGGTCATGCAGGGGCTGCTTGATTATATTACAAAATATGGGTTTGCTGGCTGGTGGCAGGAGCATGCATCACAGGTTACAAAGTACAGCCAGGCCTTGGGTTGGAAGCAATGTTTATGTGTGTGAAGCATCTGAGCATGGAGGAGAATAAGTAATGGTGCCATCACAGGTGGGGTGGTGAGTGAGTGATCTGCATATGTATTTGCGTTGAGTAAGTAGGGCAGGTGTGCATGCACCACCACCTGCTTTTCTTCACTCCTTTAGGTCCAACAACATTTATGTTATGTTCTTCTGGGCTGGGGTGTCAAGAAAGCTCAGCACTCACTAATCTAGTAGCTCACATGCTCTTGCACTGCAGCCACTATCCATTAACACACACTTGTCCCTTGGCTCTTGCCATGCT